ACAGCCCACAGTTTTGGCTTTCTTCAGTGTCTCAGTCTTGCCAGACAGCTTCCTGCTCCTCGGTTTGTTTCCACTCATATCCTGCCACTGGAACATTCTCTGTCTTTTTCTAATACCTTTTCATCCTTCAGATCTCAACTAAACAAACTATAATTTACTCAAGTGAGCAAACCTAGATTTTCCTGACTTTCACTTACATATATAATCTCATTGCCCCTATAATTCAATATTTAATGCTAATAGTTTGGGAAATTTAAAATTTATTCCTCTGATTAATGTTTCTCTACTACTTTACTAGAAATTTATACAGCCAGGCTAGCAAAATGTTGGGAAGCTGGTAGAGAACAAATGTTTATTAAATGAAGGCACAGATAAGTAAAAGAATGAACTCATTCATAAACTTTTTCACAACTGGCTAGTAATTTTTTTAAAAAAAGATTTAATTTATGCAAGAACTGGGGTACAGGCCAGAGACGCGGGAGGGTAAGAGGCTTCACCAGAGACAGAGTGGGGAGCAGAACAGGCAGACGGACTGAAATACACTGCTGAGGGGAGCAGCGGGCGAGGCAAGAGAGGTCTGCTGCACCTTGTGGGCATCTCCCTGACTGGCCAGGAATCAAACCAGCACTGCAGAGGCTGCAGACAGCTTCCCAGCACTGCACTCAACCCGCTGCGCCATCAGGGAGGCCCCAACTGGCTAGTATTATATGTATTGTTAACCTTTGTCTTTTTTTACAAAGTAGACTATAAGTAACGTCCCTTGAAACAGGTATCTCTAGTTGTTTTTGACACTTTTAAAAATGAAGGATTTTTATAAAAATATTAGTTGAGAAAACTGTGGGTCTTTGGTAGACATGTGGTGGCAAATATAGGCATGGTCAATATACACTTTTTTAGACGTTTTTCAATTCCATTTATTGAGGTAAAGTTGATTTACATCTTTGTTTTTCTTTAAGTAGTGATACATAAAATAAATGCACTTTTTTTTTTAATATTTCCTTATGTATGCAGAGAACTGGGGTATAGGACAGGGGTATATGTGGGGGTGAGAGGACTCACCAGTGATATTGGGAAGCAGAACAGGCAGATTGACTGAAACACACTGCTGAGGGGAGCAGCGGGTGAGACAGGAGAGGTGCGTTGCGCCATGAGATTTAGCTCCCTGGCCGGGGATCGGACTCGGGTAGTAGTGGTGGTAGTGCTGAGACTAACCCCTAGGCCACCGGGGAGACCCAACAAAGGCACTTTGGAAGTAAAAATTTGAGGCCAGTGTACTCACAGCAAGTTTCATTGAGAAATACAGTACATTAGATCCACGAACTTGCAATTCCCTCTGGATAATAAATAAGATGCATGACACAAATGGGTAATATGAAAAGAGAGTCCTACTAAGTGTGCACAGAGGCACTGAAAACCAAGGCCCGTGGAGTTCCATGGTTCCCTGTAATTTGGAATCTTGGGATATTAACCCTTGTACCACCCATGGCTGTAAAGCTCCTCTCATTACTTTATTGATTTGATTTGTCAATAACTGATGGTTTGAGTGCATCAAACATTTGTTTGATAATATTCACCTGTCAGTTGAGTAAACATGTGACCCATTTAGAGCACATATGTCTTCAACAGAATATTTCATGCTCAAATAGGGGCGATGAAATTGTGGTTAGAAAGTACTGTGAAAAATATTCACCAGTGGCTGGCAAATGGCAGCAAAATGTAGGAAGAAGTAAAACTTTTTTTGTTTTCCCCAAGTCTTTTATGCCTAATTTCCCCTTCATCTTTGCACTTGATGGTCTTAGAGATGTTGCCTTGATGCTTTCCCGCTCAAAATCTAAATGAGCTGAGAAACAACAAAGAGAATCACTGTCAGTTTTCACCCAAGAGAAAATGGGTGTCTAGGAGAAGTGAAGGTGAGGTGTAAAATAATAATTGAATGTTTAAAACATGCACATCAGTGGAGATAATGTAATTATTTTAAAAAGAGAAAACAATAGCAGGAGTCAGTTTTAGTGGAAACATATTTGCAAAAGTGATTATCTGGGGGCCTCCCTGGTGGTCCAAGGGGTTAAGTGGCAGCACTGTAAAGCTACCCTCAGCCTCTGCAGCACGATTTTGTTCCCTGGCCAGAGAGCTACCCACATGGCACAGCAGACCTCTCCTGACTCACCCGCTGCTCCCCTCAGCAGTGTATTTCAGTAGATCTGCCTGTTCTGTTCCCCACTCTGTCTCTGATAAACCCTCTCACCACGCCACCCTGCACCTCTGGACTGTATCCCAGTTCTTATATGCATAAATAAATAAATAAATCTTTTTTAAAAAAGTGATTATCTGAGGGCAAGGTGACTGACTCCCCAGGGAGTATTCGGTGAGGCTGAAAATGGGCTGTTGTGATTAGACAATGATTAAAAAGTGATTCTGGGGGAAAATGGCATATTATTTGGAAACATACGTGTACATAGGTTGGGAAGAGTCAACATTCGATAAAGCTCTTTGCTGGCAGAAAGCTAGCTGGATGGAGGGGTAGTAGCTGTTCCTGGTGATTTCTTGAAAATATGAACTCTGAGGTTTAATGCTGAGTCAGTGCTGCTTTCTGTCTCAGGCAAGTATGAAATCTCTCTTTGCTTTCACTTCCTCATCTGTAAAATGGAGATAATAACAGAATAACAATGTTGCTTAACTCATGTGGTTGTGGAAAGGACATACTAGATTATATTTGTAAAACAGGCAAACAGGCTTATCACAGCACAAGCTAAGCCTCATCTCATATGTTTGGTCTTTGCTATTCTTTTTTTTTTTTTTAAGATTTATTTATGCATAGGGGCCTCCCCCGTGGCGCAGCGGTTGAGCGCTGGGCTGCGAAGCTGCTGGCAGCCTCTGCAGTGCTGGTTCTATCCCCGGCCACCAGCGAGGGTCCCACATGGCGCACAGCCCTGTCCTGCCGTGCCCCTCAGCAGTGTACTCCGTCAGTCTGCCTGTTCTGCTCCCCACTCTGGCTCTGGTGGATTCTCTCACCCTCTCGCACTTCTGACTGTACCCTGTTCCCAGTGCTTGTATAAATAAGTAAATAAATCTTTAAAAAAAAAAAAAAGATTTATTTATGCATACAAGAACTGGGGTATAGGCCAGAGGGATGGGGCATGAGAGGATCCACCAGAGACAGATTGGGGAGCAGAACAGGCAGACTGACTGAAATACACTGCTGAGGGGAGCAGTGGGTGAGACAGGAGAGGTCTGCTGTGCCATGTGGGTAGCTCCCTGGCTGGCTGGATATTGAACTCGTGCTGCAGAGGCTGTGGATTACTTCATAGTGCTGTGCTTAACCTTTTGCACAACCAAGGAAGCCCTGGTCTTTGCTTTTCTTAAACATGTAACATGCAGGACTCTCTGAGAAGGTCTTTCTGTTCCCTGAGGGAATGATTGACTCTGGAAAGCTGTCTTCAGGTAATGATTTGATAGGAATTCCTGGTTAAATCTCTCATTTCCTGTTTCTCCTGAGTCAGATACCAAAAGTTCTCTCAGGGTTTCCCAGTTGGATAACAGACTAGAAGGGAGTGAAGAAATAAGGAAGATGAGAGATGTGTGCTAATTTGTTAAGAAGGGAAGATTAAGAAGCGAGGTCCAAAAAGAATTATAGCGTCTCCAGGAGACTGGGGTTTAGAAAGTTTGTGTAGAATTCCATGCCTTGAAGTAAAAAGAGGTTAGCCTGGAAAGACGGACAAATCTGTTCCATAAGCGAAGGCAGTGGGACATTTACAGATGCATAATTCACAATAGCTAAGTTACAAGAACAAGCTGGGTGTCAGACAGACAGACAGAGACATGATAAATAGCTTTAGATAGATGTAGATATTATTCAGATATCACACAAAGAAATCCTGCTGTTTATGACAACTGGCGTGGTGATCATCCATCAAATGATGAACTGCAAAGTGTTAAATAAACGAAGTCAAATAGAGAAATACAAATACTGTGCGATCTCACTTATAAGTGGAATCAAAAAAAGTCAGCTCATGGAGACAGAGACTAGATTGGTGCTTGCCAAGGGCTGGCTAGGGGTGGAAGAGGAGTAACTGTAGTGTTCAAAAGATACAAATTTCCAGTTCGAAGATGAACAGATGCTCGAGTCTAATGTACAGCCTGGTGAATACAGCCCACGACTACATTACCTACTTAAAAGTAGATAAGAGTAGGTCTTTTTTTTTTTTTTTTTAGTAATGATTATTTTATTTTATTATTTTTTTTAATTTTTTACATCATTGTTCATTTTTAAACAATACTTGCTCGGGCCTCCCCTGGTGGCGCAGCGGTTGAGCACTGTGCTGCAAAGCTGCCCGCAGCCTCTGCAGCACCGGTTCGATCCCTGGCTGCAGGCGAGGGTCCCATATGGTCTCTCCTGCAGCCTGCTGCTCCCCTCAGCAGTGTACTTCGTCAGTCTGCCTATTCTGTTCCCCGCTCTGACTCTGGTGAATTCTCTCACCCTCCCACACTTCTGACTGTACCCAGTGCGTGTGTAAATAAATAAATCTTAAAAAAAGTAAAAAATTTAAAAATTAAAAAAAATATTTGCTTTCCCCGCCCCCCCAGGTATGGTCACCATAGAGTTCCCTTCCCCAAGGCACCCGTGGACCATCTCCTCAGTCCCCTGTGCTCCTCCCTCCCTCCCTCTGATCCCTCTCCCTCCGCCTTCCCTGCAAGATATCTGATTTATAATTGTTTTTGCTTTGTTGTGTAGACCTTAACGTAAATACCACCCCCAGTACAGAGTTAACTGTGTCAGGAGACAGATGTATTAACTAACCTTGTATTGATCATTTCACAGTAGATGCTTGTATCAAATCATGCTGTATGACTTGAACTTACACAATATTTTGTCAATTATAGCAATTAAGCTGGGGAGGGGACCAAATACTCCCAGGGCTTGTTAGGACACAGATTGCTGAGGCAGCCTCAGAGATTCTCATTCTGTAAATTGAGAATTTCCTTTTATTTTGTTTTTGTAGATCCCTAATGGATGCTGATGTCCTGGTCCCAACAAAACACTTTGAGAACTGCTGTGCCCAGGCAGCATTTTGCATTTTCTTCTAAAGGTACGCATACTGACAGATGTGAATTTTAATCATGCTCTCCAGAAGTCTATAGATTATTTCTAATCCCTCTTTAACCGTATCTTCAAGATTTTGAAAACTGCTTTCATATGACAGCTAAGTCCACTTCCATCCAGGATAAATTTAGCTTGTTCCATGAAATATTCTTAGAGCCCATAGCGATCAGGACACTTACTATCCTGAGAATGGCCTAGTTTGCTTTAAAATATCACTAAATTTAGTGTCAAAAGTGTAACCTGATATTTCGCATGTGATGTGGCCAGGAAAGATGGTGAGGAGCTGCAGTCTGCCTTGAGACCATATGCTCTTACTGATGTTGCCTAAATGTGGATTATCTGATTGAGCAGGAGCAAACTACTATTTAACATGGTGCTTGTGCCAACAAAAGCCCTGGGGATTTCCTTCTGCAGGAGAGTACTTGATGACAATAAGGAGGTGAAAAAGTACCTTTTATTTTTATGATAACAAATGGTTTTGTTTACACCTGTATTTCCAGCATCAGAGAGATGCTTGGTTTAGAGAAGGAGCTCAAGAAATATTTATTAAGTGAGCTACTGAATGAATATATGTCTTGCCTCACATGTTTACAAATTTCAGCAGGGTATTTAAGCAGTGTATTAAAATTAGGTTATTTTTTTTCTCCTTCACTAATTGTTGCTCAAAGGAATGGCTCCGTAGAAAACCTCACTCTATCCTTGCCCCCTCCTCAGCTTCCCACTCACACAGATGCTTACATGACATCCAAAGATTAGTCTTCATGCTTTTTAGATGATAACTTGCATCATTTGGCAGCAGTTTCAAGTATTCTATTAAAAATGTTGAGGATTTAGGTCAAGGATCTGACTTTACTATTTTCATCCTCGGTCCTAATGATTTTCTAGATCCAAAGTGAAATGATGATGATAAGAATGTGGAAGTAGAGGGCCCATTATGTTCCATGTTTGTCTATTGTAGGCACAGTTTACCTTTCCATTTCTCACAAGGGTTTGCGCAGAAGGCATTTCTATTTCCATCATCTCAATAGGGAAACTGAGGCTGAGAGATGTTGGGCAGATTAGTCACAGTCGTCAGATGACAAGGTAGAGGATTGTGTTGGGAAGAATGAGTAAATTAAAGAGGCATTCATGTAACCAATGACGTTACTATGGGTAGCTCTTCCATCTGACAGATTATAAAGGGCTACAAAAATAAGCAGATGAAAAGGAAAATTTTCTTGGTCTGAGGCAAATTTTTTTCAAGTAGGCAATTGCAGACACCCACCCATAAAGGAATTAGATATAAATGAAATAAAAGGCAGAAACAACAGGGGCCTCCCTGGTGGCACAGGCAGTTGAGCGCAGCGCTGAGAAGCTGTCCGCAGCCTCTGCAGCAAGGGTTCGATCCTGGCCAGCCGTTGAGAATCCCAGATGGCGAAGCAGACCTCTCCTGTCTCGCCCGCTGCTCCCCTCAGCAGTGTATTTCATCAGTCTGCCTGTTCTGTTCCCTGCTCTGTCTCTGGTGAATCCTCACACCCTCCTGCACATCTGGCCTGTACCCTGGTTCTTGTATAAAAATAAGTAAATCTTAAAAAAAAAAAAAGGCAGAAACAACAGTATAAAAGGTAGGTGGGGATAATAGCCAAATAGAAATCTTGGAAATTTGTATGTGCTATGAATGATTATATAATTACCCATATAATTGATTATTTGTGTGTGTGTGTGTGTGTGTGTGTGTGTGTGTGTAATGAGTAACTCTGAACTGAAGAGTTACTGAGAAAAATGTGTGATTTCATAGAGAGTAGTAAAGTCATCCTGAATTCAACTCAAAGACAAATTTTTTTAATTTTAATTTTATTTTTATATTCCCCATACAATTGCAAGCCCCTCATTTTGACCCCAATCCCTCCTTTCCCGCCCCCAAAGTGTGTCTCTGGTTCATAGTTGTTTGTTGATTTTGATTTTTTTCTTTCTTATAGTTATTCTTTTGCCTGGTCCCTTATTTAGGTTTTCTAGATTCCTGCTATGAGTGAGACCATCCGGTATTTTCCTTTTTCTTTCTGGCTCATTTCACTGAGCATGATCCCTTCCAGCTCCATCCATGTTGATGCAAATTGCATGTGTTTATCTTTTTTGAGTGCTGAGTAATATTCCATGGTGTATATGTACCACATCTTCTTGATCCAGAAAGACAAATATTTAAAATAAAAAGTAGATGAGAAGATTGGAGCAATGGCAGACAGACTGAAAATCGTGTATTTATCTGGCAGGTGTTTCAGAAAGAGAACATGGAGTGAAGGGTGTAGAAACAATGGTCAAGACATGTAGCTTTGTGTTTTCACAGTTTAAGGCAGGAATTGATCCCATCAGGGTCCAGGTCAGGGTGCCTCAAGATGGGCCAAGGGAGCATATTGATTATTTCCAATTAAGAGAAGCAATAGGGGATGGGATCATACCCTAAACCTCCCTTTCTCCTAAAAGCAGGTGTTTTCTCTTATTTTTCTCCTATTTCCTCGAAAAGCAGGAAATAAATCTGTTTGTCAAAAGTGCCCTCCCTGCACAGAGACGGAGAGACATCCTTATCAGAGATCAGGGACCAGAAGTCATAGAAATAAACTACTTAGTTCCCTAAATTAGTTGTTCAACCCAAAACTTGCAAGAGTTTTCTTTGTCTTGTCTGTTCTTCACAGACGTACTAGTTCTTTGTCTGAAAGCTAGAACCACTGTCTGACCTGTGTTCCAGAGATGATGGTTCTCCAAGTATAGGCAATTAATCTGCCTTTTCCCTTACTGATCTCACGTGTCAGTTTGCTGTTGGGTTAGCCAGAGGCGGTGGAGGTGAGATCCACCCCACAGTGTCTCCTCCTAAAGTCCTTTGCTCAGACAGGGTCACTAAATCCAGTCCAACATAAATAAGAGTAGGCCTTAGCCTAGACACATCCGAGTGAGGCTACAGATGAGGGGAAAAAATATTAAAATCTGCAGGAAATGAGATAATTACTACTGAGTCAAGGTAAGTGCACTGAGCAGATTCGTCCACAGTAATAGATGCCAAGGAAGGTGATGTCTTCAGAGCTGCAGAAAATAAGACAGATTAACCAGTTTACTTTGCCCTTAATTTTGAAAGATAAATGAGTTTTCAGAGTTAAGTAAAAGAGATCAAGGGAGAAATCCTCAGTGAAGGAAATATTAAATCTATCGTTTACTTCCGAAGAAAAGGGACTTGAAAAGGCAATCAGATAAGTTCAGGAAACAGCTGAGCAGATAGAGTGCTCTCATACTTTTATGTTTTAAAATAGATTAAACTAAAATTCTAGATAACAATAGCAAGGCAGAAAGTTTCCAGAGTGAAAGTATACTAAAATCTATGTCTTGTTATGTCAAGTTTAGAAATACTAAATGCTTAGGTAGGTTAGATTTATAAATGAGTGTATTTTTAAAATGTATTTTCTAAAGAACCAAAATTCAGATGTTACTTTCAGAAACTACAGATGCAAATGAAGATCCCTGAAATTTTAAATCAATAAACTTTAAATCAATAAAACTTTAAATCAATGTTTTTTCTCGACATACGAGAAAAAAAATTGAAGTCAAGAAAATGATACACAGAAACTTTCAATCCAAAAATGCAAGGAAATATAAAGGTAATAGAGTATTATCATTAATTAAAGCCTTAAAGTTTAAATTGTATTTTTGATATATCCAGCTATTGGGTTGTATCAGAAAAATCATGATGTATTTTTTTCTATTTCTCAAGCAAAAAAGTGTCACGAATTTTCTGATAACCCAATATTTTGTGTTTACAAGAGACACAGCACTCAAATTATACAGGAGAGTTAAAAAAAGAGTCAGAATGAAATCTCTGTGCAAACAAAAACAAAGATACCTACTGTGGCACTATTTCTATCCTAATTGGATTTTAGGAACAGCATTTATAGAACAGTAAAAGCTAAAAAATCATGTTCACAACAGTAAATTTATACTTCAAAGATTTATTAATAAAATAGAAATTATATTACCTAGTAGAAATGTATAAAACTTTATGCAGATAATCCATAGAACACTGTGCCTTTAAAAAGTAACACAATGTTATACAATATTCCACACAGTCAGAAGCATTTAAAATACAGGTAGTGTGAGAGTAACGTGGTTACCTGGCAGATAGGGGTTCTTGCACAAGTTCAGTAAGATTCTGAGATGCACTCATAAAATTGTAGCCCTCCAAATACAAGTCATATAAAGCAGATAAAGATAAAATAATGCAATGTAGTGTAAGCTTCGTGTGTGTGTGTGTGTGTGTGTGTGTGTGTGTGTGTGTGTGTGTGGTAGGTGGTGTGTGTGTGTGTGTGTGTGTGTGTGTGGTGGGGGTAGAGAGGGATTTGCCATTTGCATCTCCAGTGCTGCTCTCACCTGAGACTAGGACACCAACCCATAATTAGCAATCCAGGCCACTAGGCAGAGGAATGAGGGAATCAATATGTGAAACTCCTTTCTTTAGAGGTTTCAACTCTCAGAGGCAATGACTTGAGCTCTGCGGAGCTTGTTCAGCCTTTGCTAACCCTCCTTCTGCTCTGATTATTCTCGGCAGCTCGCTGCCATCAGTCACCCTCCTCACAGAGCTCCCCGGCAATCACACAAACCCAGTTTGCATCTGTCAGGCTCTGCCTGAAAAAGTCTGAATTCATGCAAATGTCACTTCTCAGCCTGTGAAGCCCAGAGTGGGGCTCTCATTCAACAGATGGGCCCCATGCAAATAGAAAGGGGAGCGCTCCCCACGTTGCCCAGCTTCAGTCAAAGGCAAGTTCAGTCATTTATTCCTCCTTCTGAAACCTTTAAAAAAATTTCACTTTAATGGTGACACCGTCTTTCTCACATGGTTGATAAATAGAACAATGGCAGCCTTGTGGAAATGATCAGAAGCGAGGCAAAGCAGATTGGTAGAAGAAGCTCAGACCTTGGCATCAAATCTGGCTTTAAGTCTTCGATCTGCTGCTTGACAGCTCGTTT